CCTGATAGAGGGGGCATTTCTTAGCTACTAAAGTGGGGATATCGCGTACGCAGGTTCTAAAAAGTGACCCACACACTTCACTCTCAGGTGGTGGCCAGTCTTTTCTAAGCCTAGTCGCTCACCGTGAAATCTGAGTTGACACCATAGCCCGCTTAGGAGGTAGCAACATCCTGGTCGCGATACGACAGCTAATGGTTTTGACCGTATGGCGCCTTCCTTGGATCGCCCAATACAGCCCTTGCATATCCGAACATGTATAAAAACAGGCTCACGAATTCAGGATGTCCTCGTCGTGGCCAAGACCCGAATAGCCCAATCAATTCCTTAAAACTAGACAAGAAACCGCGCTGCGCGAACACGAGCCAACGCGCTCGTCTCGCTCGCCTGGCGCGTGCCGCCGCTGTGGCGCTTCCTGAACCGCTACTTCGTGCTGGTGCACGGCATGCCGCGCGCCGTCACCATGCTCACGGCCAACTTCTCCCACTCGTCGCTCGGCCACCTGGCCACCAACATGGTCGGGCTGTGGTTCGTCGGCACCGCGCTGCACGACGAGGTCGGCCGCGCCAACTTCCTGGCCATCTACCTCGCCTCCGGCGCCGTCGGCCTGCTCGGCAGCCTGACCGTCTTCACGCTGCGCGGCCTGCTGACCGTCTCCACCGTCGGCGCGTCGGGCGCCGTCTTCGGCGCCACGACGGCCTACTTCTGGATGCACCGCTTCGACTCCTTCAAGGTGCTCGGCCTGCCGCCGGATCCCATGAACGGCCCGCAGGGCCTCGGCTTCATCGCCATGATCCTCGGCTTCCACCTCTACGCCTTCTTCCGCCGCGGCCGCCAGACCATCGACCTGACGTCCCACCTGTTCGGCATGCTGGCCGGCCTGGTCGGCATCGAGCTCGTGACGGGGAGGGAGGAGGTGCCGAGGGAGGACGGGATGAAGGGGAAGAGGGAGGACCTCGTGAAGGACGCGCTCCCCCGCGAGGGCGGCGGCGACGACGACAAGGCGTGATCGGGCGTGCCTGGGATGGGCGGGGCGGTTGGAGATCTGCCCTCTGTGGGAGGGAGACACGTGTAGTATAGCGAGTTTGTTGGAACAGCCCGACTCGGGCGACGAAGAGCCTTGTGAAGGAGGAAATCTTTAGACTCTTGTACGTTATAAAATGGATGACATTCGAATACCAATCTCACTTCCCAATGTTATACGCCCCGACGGACCGGAAAACGCCACGGCATCCTAGGCGCCCTTCTCCCGCTCAAGAGTCACCCGATTTCAGTCACATCCTGCCCTGCCACTTCAACGCGTACCAAGCCCCGCCTAGTTTGTGATTTTCAAAACTCCAAGGTGCCGGGTCAACAAGACCCCCAAGCTAACTCCCTTCTACAGCCCGGGGGAGTATTTCCCCCGTGCTGCAAAGGTCATCGCGTCAGGGTTTGGTTTGGTTGTTTGTTTTCGGCCGGACCCGGCACCAGCAGATCCCAGATCCAGAACAGACGTCCATTGACGTTTCCGCCTGCGAGGATCGCGAAATCGCCAACGGGGAGAAATGTCGATCCACAGATGTTTTACCTTGGGCTTCGGCGAGGACGGCTCTCTCTCTCTCTCTCTCTCTCTCTCTCTCTGAACAAACACGAACGTAGAAACACAAGCTCTCGGTTACAGGCGAATCGACGCATGTGTGCTCTGGGATGCTCACAAGTCTCAACAGACTGGCTCTCCCCTATTATTTACCCGCCTCTCTATGAATTTCACCTCTGGTGAACAGGCTTTGATATAGGAGCTCAGCAGACGAGATGAGCGACGGATTTCTTACTAGCAGCCACGTGGATTGGAGGCCCTGAGTCGAGTACGAAAGAGTGGTCGACGAGGATGGAACAAGGATGGGATGGAGATGGAGACACATTGTAAGTGTGTGAGGGAGTAATAGAAAGAGGCGCGGGTGCGGGACGGACAGGGGGGAATCTGCATCGAGGCCTAGCCAAGGCCGTTCATCAGTTCAAGCTGCGTCACACTTCTTGTCACTCGGTAGGTCAAGACCGGGGCAAGACATCAGGTGAAAAGAGTCAATCGAGTCGAGCAACCAGCCGTTGAATGGAATTCCGTCCTCATTGTAACTCCATATTGGATTGTGCCCCCTGGGAGCCTTCAACCGCCGAGTTTGGACATTATCCATCCATGCCAAGTATAAGCCAAGCGTTCTGCGTGAGGCAGCGTGGCCTACTCTCCCGAAGCCGGAGGGACCGTATATCGGGACTTTACAGTGACATGTAATAAGTCTGGGCTCACCACACAATGTGCCACCTTGGATAGCTGAGCCTGGATTTATTACATGCCACTGTAATCTCGACCGCCGCCTCCCCCCTTGACATTCCGTCTACGCACCAGGCTCCATGCAAACCCTCCCTGCCATACTCGTAGCCGCCCCTCATCGACCTTGAGCCTAGCGGGCTGCATATCGAGCACTTTCCCTTGGGCATTCCACCTCGCTCAAACGCACGTCGCGCAGCTAGCGTATAGGGCTATCACGATGCGGTGGTGGGGGGGGGGGGGGGGCGTGTATAGTTCCTTTCGTTCTCCCAAGACAATGGTCTCATGCGCAGTCCCGGCGCACGTCCCGCCAAACAGTGCGGCGGCGTGGGCCAAGCGCTCGAACGAGAATGCTCTATCGACCGCCACGTTGCTTTTTTCTTTTCTTTTCCTCCGACGTTGGACGTGTGGAGCGATATAGTGTGTTCGCCGGACTCCTTTTTGGGCCTTCCGGAATCTCCCCGGGCGAGACTGCCCAAGCCAGATGCGGAGATGGCCGGTCTGCCGGGGACAGGCTCACGGCCCAGTACGTTATCCTATCCTGGATATCCATGCCTTTGCGCAGAGTGTCTTTTCTTCTTGTCTTCCAAGAAACCCGAGACTCCCATCCTGAGGGCAACAACAGCCCCGCCCCACGGAGAATTTCAATCATTCGACACGATCCCTGGGGTCTGGTCGAACGTGATCAGAAGCCGCGGAGTGGTTTCCCGCCTCTTTTGGCTGTAGTACCGTTTGCTACGCTGCTTCGGGGGCCAGGGATCATGACCGCCGCGGACCCTAAGACGACCGACCGCGCTCTCTCTCCGACCACGATCTACGGGCTCGTTGGTGAGGAGCCAAACGTTGTCATCCATCAACGTTAGTAGGTGGCATAAGAAAATAAAAGAGCAGAGGGCCGGCGGGGTTCCAGAGTACAGTTCGGCAAACCACTGTCCCAAGCCAGCGGCCAGACGCGGGTATGGCACCCGCGGCTTGCCCGATCAGCAATCGCATCGGAACGGTCGTCGTTGCCCCCATCCGTTGCACTAGGAGGGGTCATATGCAAGATCCGCCCCGACGAGATCTCGTGTGTCAGATGCTCGACGAGGCCGGGGTTGCGGTTCGGAAACAGACGGTCCTCCTGCGGCGCTTCGACTACGACATCAGATCATGCCCGCACTGGTCCGCAAGTTGGCCGGCAACAACGTCGTCCCCGGCGTGTACCGGCCCGTCCGAAGCCTCCCGGCCCTTCTCTCTCCTGGATGCTGCTGTCAAGGGAACACAGCACCACGTCTATCGGTGCGAAATGGTAAAGGAAAGCAGAGTACCCGGGAGGGGGGGGGGGGCGCCTCTGTAAGCGATTCCCGAACTTCGAGCCAGGGATGTCGGAATTCCGCCTGGAGGCAGCGGCAAAGAGACCGCGGGTGACGGGCACCCTCTCAGACGTCCAAAGCGCGCCTTCGGTTACGGGTTCCGGCCAGGAGAACGAGGCGTACGAGCACTACGACCCGGGAGTGTAGATGGGGCGCCTCCCTTTGTGGCTGGTCGACATCGACAGGTCGACCCCTCGAGCAAGCATCTGGCTGTCACGTCTTTTTTGGACTATTTGGCTTAACGCAAAGAATTAATGCACTAGTTTGCGCCTACGGAGAACTATTGAATCCGCTGGATGCTACCCTCTCCCCCCCACTCCATATATAGTGACCGGGGCTCCGCATCGGTCGAGGCTGAGCCGACGGCTGTCGATGCTTTCGCCGGTTCCGTACCGGGCTACTTACTCTCGCGTGCACGATTTCTTCACAATCAACTCAGAGACAGCTTCTGGGTACGAACGGCATGCTTTCTTCCACGAGTGTAATCGGCTGCGGTTGGACCAATACTGGCCCGGGGGGCTTATGTATGGCAGATGCGATCACTTGCAAGTGACATGTTGAGATCCAAAGGCGATGCCTGACTAAATGAGGACGTGGCATAACTAAACCGCCGCAAGGTGAAGCATCACTTTATGCGATATAAAATGACGTCGGACTGATTCAGCACTACTGTGTGGCGGGTGTCGTATCCTATCATAGCGTTCCTTCGAAGACGCGGCGTAGCCCGGGGAGGATAATATCATGCCTCGTACGCAAGATCCGGGTCGGCAACGAGTGTCTGCAGAGACGAGAATTACGCTTGGTTACAGAAATGCACATTCTTATGAAGCCCCGTCGGCGGCCGGAAGCGATCCAAGCAAGCCACGGGGGCCAACAAACCACTTACGAGATGCCGCTGGTTCTCTCCCCAGACTCTTGGTTTGGCGGATATCCAGTGCGATGCAAAAAGGTCCCAGCCGTTGCGATTCGCCGCCTCGCCGCCTCTTTGCACAAAGAGCACGGAGACCGGGCCCGGCACTTTCCTCCCTGCTCATCTCCGTATAAGAGCCACCTTGTCGAACGAACTAGACCATCATCGGCACGTTACACCGAGCCCGAGGGGATTCGCAGCTGCAATACGAGACACGGCGGAACAAGAAGCTAGGGGAGGGGAGGGTGGCTGCCTTCGTCTCCTTGCCTGCACGTTTCGACCAAATTCGACATCCATCTGACGTGAGAGATGGTTCATTTCTCAGATGGTGATGGAAATTGCGACTTGCCGATGAGCGCCCGTCGGAAAGTGTTAAGCGCTGCTCGGAATATGCGTGGGCCCAGGAAGCAACATGACGAACAAACACACCACACCACTCCGGCATGGTTCCCTCAAATTGGCAGCCGCCCAATTCTTGGACGCGATGGACGGCTGCGGTGAGCCCCCCCCCCCCAAGTCTTGCACCAATGGTGAGTCGTAATCTTGTGGTAGACTGCAGCCTGGACACCGGGCGACGTCAAAGACGCATGCCGCACGTGGGTTGCTACCCTGGAGTCGCATCGCGAATGGAGGCCGCTGGAGCCGCGAAATGAGAGTCGGTGCTAGTGCAGGATTCGCTGGAGACGTGATCTCGCCCCCCCCCCCCCCCTTCCTCCTCGTCGTTCCGATAGATTGGTCGCAGGCGGTTCTTTTGCTTCGCCAAATGACGGTTCCAAGGTCTGGTGCAACGCTTCCCAGGGCTGGACACCCGAGGGCGTTGCCGCCGCGGTGGCTATTTTTGGGCAAACTCTGCAGCTTTAGTGCCGCGGGTGCCGCATGTCGAAAGGGAATGGAAGATTCGCCCACGATGCGGATGCAACCTACATCAGATCAGAGGGCTGAACTACATTTGCACATCACAAGGCGTATGTCGTCTGCCCTCCTCCCCTCCTCGCAGGCCGTTCAAGTCGTGGGGGTTTCGGCCTGGTGGTTCTACGAGGCCTCGAGAGTTTCAACCCCTTTCTATTCTTTTCTTCTTTTCCTTTCTTCTTGACCGCGTGTAGCGTTCGGCTTTACTGTACAGAGTGAGCATGACTAGGCTTGTAAAATTGCAGCACGGAACTTGGCCGTTGGATGTTGTGTGGTATCATCGTCGCGTTGGCGGCGAGTCAACGACAATGTGCGAGATGCCACAGACGGCAAGGCCACAGCTCGAAGCAGACATGATTACCCCTTGGGGCGAGTTGATGTGGACAGTCCTTGATCGAGTCGAACCCCTTATATCTCGACCCAAGGGGGGGTGGTGGCTCACTCACTCAGTATGGATATCTCTCTGGCGTTTCGAAATTGCCGGCTCCCTTTTTGGAACGGAACGCTGCTCGATTGAGCAGTCCCACCTGTGTGTATGTGTGTGTGTGTGTGTGTGTGCGCGTGTGCGCGAGTGTGAGCCTTGTGCTACTTACACAATGACTTGCCAGCGGATATTTTCCGAGCTAGGGCTGGTGAAGGCGGCGAGCCATGATGGAGATGCAGATGCGACTCGAGTTGTTTGCCTCGAGGCCGTCGGACCAAGTCCCCAGGCGCGGGCGACGAACCCGAGCGCGACACACTCGGCCCAATGCAAACTGATACGACGGTGGGATTGAAGGGTTTTGCTACGGGTGTGGTCCAGCGTCGCAACGGCTGGGCGGCGCAGCTTCTTTGACAATGCCACGAATCTTGACGCGTGTGTGTATCAGGCAGTGAAAGAAAAGGAATGCAAAAGGAAAGGGGAGAGAGAGAGGGAGAGAGAGAGGCCGCTTGGAGGGTATCCCCCGCAAGACCCTTCGCACCCATCAACCACCGGCAGGCACCATCCTTGGGACCCGCCAGGACCCTTGCAAAGGGCAGGACTTGGTGGTTGGCATCCTATCTTCTCCAACATTCTTGTCTTTCCGTTGCGGGATGGATGCAACAACGTCACAATGGTGAGGCCTGTCGCCTCGGGCATTCCGTCCAGGTGGAATGATCCTCAGGGAAGGAGTGGAGATGAGGGAAGAAGAGAGCCGGCTCGAGGTTCTTCTGTGAAGGTCGAGGCGATCGGAGGAGGAAACACGATCGTCAGTGGGCTCTGTGCGGAATCGTCCGAACCTGCGGTGTAAGGAGTTCGTCTGGTTCTCTGACCGTCGCTGGAACGAACGGACGAACCGCTGCCCGGGGCAATGACCCCACGGACTCGGATTTGCGAGAGCGGTCAACTTTTGGGGCCCGGCAAGTCCCCCCCCCCCCAGTGCTGGAAGCTTTACCTGGCAAGGGCGGCGTAGTGATAGTCATGGAACGATGAGGCTCCGGTCGAAACAATCTGGACCAATGGCCAGAGCTTTTAGTCATATGATGAAACGGACGGTGGAGGTGAGGTCCCACGCCGGTGCTGGTGCAGGTGCCTTTGATGGGGAGCATACGGAGTAGGGGGTTCAAGAAAGGGAATGGAAGGGTGCATGTCGAACTCTCTGGGGTCGAGTACCGGGATTATGGAGGAGGTCAATCTACAGCCCCGGGCTCTTCGGCTTCTAGTGTGCGGGAAACGTAATAGGCGAGGGGGTGAGGCGAACTCTGTTGTCGCGGTGAAGGCGAGAAGAACGGATATCGAAGCTACTTAGTGACAGGTTGCAAGCCAGGCAGAGCGGAGACGATGGACGGGGTGGGAAAGAAGCAGAGAAGGCTTCCAGAATGAATTACGACAAATGTGACAATGGCCGCCGCAGGGATGTGTCTATGTGTTCGAGTCGTGCTCTCCCTTCCCTCCTCTCTGGTGCCACAACTGGGAGGGGAGGGAGGCCTGGTGAATGCTCATCGTCTAGAGCCAAACCCAGTGTCAGCCCCTTGGTACCAGGCGATTGATGTACATCTTATGAAGATTACCGAGACATTCGGCACACCCGATTAACTGATTCTCCGGTGGGATAGAGACAAGGTGACGCTCAACGAGAGCTGCATAATGTTTAATCACTGCCTCCCCCCGTTTCTGGAATCACCGTCGTAGCAGGTGGTGTGCTGTCTGTACCCAAAGGGATTTCAGCCATCATCCCTTTCGGACGAGGTGGTTGTTGTTGTTGTTGTAGTTGTTGTTGTCGTTGTTGTTATTATGCAGCCCATTGGCATATGAATCTTGTATAATATGCGCGTCTGTGCTTGGCGCCGGCGGCATGTCCAGTGATGCTGCCTTACACAACGGCGTCAATTTGTGATAAGATCTACATTATAGCACCCCCTATTCCATGCGATTGATCCCCCCCCCCAATGGTCGCCTTGACTACAGACTCCTATTAGTACGGGTTAGACGAAATGCGGCATGAGTCGTGGAAAGATGCGTCGACTTGACGGGAAAAGTGGGATTTGGGGGAGATGGCACAGGCAACATAAGGCGACGGACACAGACCCGTTAGACTCTGATGGGATTTGTGTCGTTGCTGTGATCCAAGGAGGGACCGGAGTCTTCCAGCCATCATCGTCCATGTGCCGAACTCGGTGGGAAGGGGAGTGCAAATCCCTCGGTGGAGAGTATTGTATCTTAACCAGCGAGCCTCTTGGAATGACGGTGGCTCCAAGACCTGAAGCGACGTGCCGATCGGTACGTATGAGGTAAAAGAGAGCGTTCTAGTCGAGTTCTGTCAAGGCAATGGATTTATGGTTATGTTTTTCGCTGCCCACCCCCCCCTGGTATGTATCCCAAGAGGGGAGGCCTCGTTGTACGGATACCGTCCAGCATATGGGCGACGTGCGATGTGTATCAAGCGGCATCTGCATGGGTTCGAAAGCGCTCGCCGTTGACAAGCCTGCAGCCCGCCCAATTGTCTCTGCGGACGGCCGTTTTCTTCTTCTTCTCGCGTTGGACTTGTACTAAGTAGGTGGGTGATGCTGGCGAGAGAGGAATCACCCAAGCTCCCGCCCGCCCTGAGGTTTGTCGGAGGCATTTCCCTCCAAGGAGATAAGAATGTCCCGGCTCCTAGATGTGACTGACGTACATCGGCAAGGCCACCACGGAGGAGGAGCCGTGGAAGGGCGTTGGAAGCGAGGTTCGAGTCTCTACTGCGTACGACGTAGTGTAGGCATCTCAGCCCACTTTCGTCTACCCAATGTTTCGAGTATTTCTTATCGTGATTTGCCGTGCCTTACGTCCGTAAGCGCGAGCGAACGCGAGCAGGCAGAGTGCGCCCGG